CATTGTAGCCTTTCAAGGTGTGCTCTTCCATTTCACGGGACAGGGTGAGCTGCACATCTCTGTACCCCTGCCAATCGAGTCTGGGCCCAAATTTAATCGAGTGCTTAAGCATCTGTGAAGGGGGCAATGACAACAAGAACTCCTAAAATGAGGGGTTTTTCTCCCTGCTCCATGATGCTTGAGCTTGCTGGGCCAGGCTTCACCAGAAGGATGTTTCTTCTTCTCGGGTTCATGCACCCTCTTGCAGGTGATATTTGCAGCTGTGGTAGATGCTGTTGCTTTCGCAGGTGATGGGGCAATAAATCCTCTGGGAAACAGCAGCTGTCATGCCAGAGGTTGCTCATGGCTCCTCCTAAACCTTGTTCCCAAAACCTCTTCCCCCGTGACCCCTGGCTCAGTGGGGGCAGCCTGCCCACCGGAGACATCGACCAAAGTCAACAGTGTCCTGGCCCGATACCCCAGCGAGCTCAGGAGACAGGAATGTCCAATGTGCTGGTAGAGAGTTCCTGGGTTTTTTTGGCACAGGTCTGCAAAGCCCAAAGCCTCTGGGAGGCATTTCATTTTCCTTTCTGGAATTAACTTTAGTGCTGAAGGTTGGGTTTGGGCCAGCAAAGCTTCCTTTGAGCCGTCGGCCGTGCAAAAGACTCATTGAGTCTTCAACTTTTCCCTTAAACACAGCTCATCTGGTGCCAGAAATTTCCCTCGCCTGATATTATAATCTGCTCAAGTGCTGGTGAGGAATTGCCCAAAGGAAGCGTGACCTTTCCAGCAACGCTGGCTTGTCTGGAGCCGGCGTTCGTGGCCGTGTGTGGGTGCCTCTGTCGTTCTTCTGTGGGAGGAGGTGTTCTGTAAGGCGAATGGAAATAAAACCCCTCCCTTGGCTGGGGGTCCGGAGGGAGGTGAAGTCAAGAGCTGGATCTGGAATGGGCAGCGAGCCCCAGTCTGAGCATCTCAGATGCTTGGCCAGCTGTGACTCCATGGGCAGAGCTGAACCGAGGTGCTTCCAGCCTGTCCTTAGACTTGCAGGATCTCCTCACCTCCTCAGGAAGAGATAAGTCCCTTCCACAAAAACTGTTTTGCCTCAAACCAAGACCTCCCAAAGCTGTTGGCAGAAATGTAGGGACCACATAAGAGAAACAGCCCAGCCCTGTGATGAGGTCTTGCCAGAGCGATCTCCTGGCTGCTGGGGCAGCAAAGCTGGCTCTCTATCCTCCTTCCCTTCCTTCTCCAGTGCCCCTAATGTTTGCATGTGGGGGTGGATTTCCTTTCACCTCCCATGGAAAACCCTCTAGATGGGCAGGTGACTGGATTTGCAGCATGCTGTAGCTCAGCTTAGAATCGTCGAATGGTTTGGGTTGGCAGGGACCTTAGAGATCATCCAGTCCCACCCCCTGCCATGGGCAGGGACACCTCCCACTAGCCCAGGTTGCTCAAAGCCTCATCCATCCGTTGAAGACATCTTGCAGGTCTTCAAGCTTCAAGTCTTCTTGCTTTCCATTTCCCCGGCCCGTGTTGGGTGAAATGAAGCGAGGAGCTCTCAGTCCCACCAGCAGCTAGGAGCCTGCTTCTTCCCAAAACTTTCCCACCAGCCTGGGGAAGTACTGGCTGGAGGTGAAGGCAGAGGTACCTGGTATCAGCCCAATCCTGGAGCACCAGGTGATTATTTCCAGAAACGGGAAGGCTGGTTGTGCAATACCACCGGGGGCTGAGCACGTTGAGTTACCAAATGTGATCACAAGCAATTAGAGCAAACGGGAGACCGTGGCCCCTTCTTAGAAAACGGAACTGTTTGGAAATTAAATCTTTCCACCTTTTGGCTTTGAAAGGCAATTTAACAGCTGACCCCTTCCTCACACTTGGGCTCGGCCAAACTGAAATGGCACATTCGCTCTGCCGTCCAACAAACCCTTGTAGTTGACCCAAATGGAAGGACTTTGGCAAAGTTTAGTTTATCATTTGTTCAGGGGGTTTTTTGGCTTGTTTTTCAGCGAAGACAAATATTTGTGCTGCTAGGTCGGTCAAAAAGGATCTGTCCTTTTCCCTCTGCTTGTTGGTGTGACTACTGAACCCCAAAGCATCGCTTTCTAAACCTCGCTCTGCCGCCAGCCTGCTTGAGCATGAGGGAGTGCTCTGAATCCAGTAATAAACTGGTTTTAGGTATTTGCTGGAGGAGGGGGCTGATATTTCTGAACCCGGGGAAGTGGGGGCTCTATTGGGGGCATTATCCCAACTCCCAGCATTGCAGCCCCGTCACAGTGCTCCGTGCATCTGAGCCGTGTCCCAGTGCGGTCGCGGGTGACTCGGAGGTCAGTTTGCTCTGCAAGAAAGGGAGCTGGGAAAGATATTTCCCTCCTTTTGCAGAAAAAAATCCTTCTCCCCAACACAGTTGCCCCTGGCTGTGTCCTCAGCCCGTTCCGAGGATGCAGGGACAGAATAGCGAGCCGGTGAGGTCATGGGGAGAGAGTTAGTCACATCCAACTGGAAAAGGGAGAGCGCTGCCAGCCAGCTCTCGCGCCGTGGAGAGCTTGCGGGGTTCGGAGGGGACCCCCCCAGGCTCCCCCAGGCACCCCAGCTCAGCCGGGGGTGTTGGTGCAGTGCTGCCTCTGCAGCGGCTTCCCGAGGAACTGGAGGAGGAGGTGAAGGAATGAAATCAAAATTTAATTTGTTCTGGCATTAACGTGGACCTTGCTCCTCGTAACTGGGGCGATACGGGCAGGAGGGGGTTAAGAGCCTTTCCAAATCGGAGACTATCTGGAGCTGTCACACAAGGGAGGGAGAGAGATTGTGGCAGAGTTTAATGAATGACTTCATTTATGTATTAAAAAAAAAATAAAAAAACAACAACACAGTGGCTTCCTGCCAGACCCACAGACAAGGGTTTCTATGGGAACCTGGGGGAAAACAATAAATAGGAGTGCGGGAGGAGCGGGGATGCGAGGAGGGGAGCCCAGGCACGAGTCGGGGTCTGCTGTGTTCCCCAAGGTGGTGAGGGGTGATGAGGGGGGGAGAAGGGAAAGGTGCGGCTGAATTTACTGCTTGCAAAAAGACCCCACCCAAAATAAGGCAGTAATGATGCGGTGGCAGAGTGGTCTCTTGGCCGGGTCCTGGGATCTGCTTTGTTCGGGGATGGGCAACCTGTCTCATCCCAGCTCTGCTGCCTTGCCTCCAGGGAGGTGGGAGTTGGGGAGGACAGGGATGAGGGGTCCCCCCCCCCCTCCTGCCGTGACCACTCTGCAAAGGGATGCTCCTAGGGCTGAGCTCAATGGTCCTGCCGGCGCTGCGGAGTAAAACAGGCTCCGAGTGAGTCTCCCCTGGAAAGGCTGACAAGGTTCAGAGTGTAATTACAAAAGCCAAATTTTTCTTGAACAAAATGTCTCAATTAATCGCAACTTTTTTTTTTTTTTTCTTTTTTTCTTTTTTTTTTTCCTTTGCTGGGAGATGGGGGAGATCTGTCCTGAACCTCAAATGAAAACAGCATCTTAGTGTGGCATCTTGGCGAATCATAGAATCACAGAATGGTTTGGGTGGGAAGGGACCTTAGAGATCATCCAGTCCCACCCCCTGCCATGGGCAGGGACACCTCCCACTAGCCCAGGTTGCCCAAAGCCTCATCCAGCCTGGCCTTGAACCCCTCCAGGGATGGGGCATCCACAGCTTCTCTGGGCAACCCGTGCCAGAGCATTTCTGTAAATAGGCTTGACAATGCCAGGAGGGAACAGCCTTCGTGGTCTCTTTTGGACCTGGAGTCAGCCCTGCCCAGCTCCAGCTGCCGTCACAGACCCTTGGGGTGACCAGTGACCACGCCGTGGTGGTGTGTCCCTTTCTGCCTGCATCCCGGCTGGTGCTGCCAGCTGCCAGGGGGGGAGCCGATCCCGCACAGAGATGGGGTTATCGGTAGAGGAGGAATTTGGCAGCCGCCTTATCGCTTCCTGGGGGATGTGAGAGGCTGTTCTGCCGACAGAGGTGTTATCATCCAGCGGCTGAGATGTCTGGGAGCAGCCAGGGTGGGTTTTTCTCTGCAGGGGAGGAAGGAAGCTGGGCAGGGCAGAGCGGGGTACAGCCGCTACCCTCCGCTGCTCTTCCCTCAACGTGTTCAGGAAAATCACCCCCGGGGTGCAGATCTCGCCCTCCCTGGGCCAAACCTTGAGATGTAAAACCTGGAGTACTGCATCCAGGTCTGGGCCCCCCAGCGCAAGGACGTTGAGCTGTTGGAGCAGGTCCAGAGGAGCCACGGAGATGGGCAGAGGCTGGGGCC